TGATTTGTCTTTTATTCTCCTATTTCCCTTTGCAGACAGGGAAAGAATCAGAATTGTTGAGCCCTTTCTGTACATATATTAAAGGAAGTAACTACTTAGTGCATGCAAAGCCGTAGGCTACTTTTTATTTTCAGGGAATTTGTAATCTAGCTGGGAAGATTTATTCATAAACAAATATATAATAGGTACGTACCAGGTACCAAACGTTGTTGGCAGTGGAGATAGAGCTGCTATCAAACTGATCAAAACCCTTCCCCTTCATGGAGTTTTCCTTATAGTAGAGGAGACAGAAAATGAAGGAAGAGATAAATGAGTGAACTATGTGCTGGTGATAAATGTTAGCTCTGATAGATAGTATTGCAGAAAAATAAAGCAGGGCAGGGGGGGATAGGGAGTATTTCAGGGGTGGGGGCACCTGCTGAAAGGTTATATGTTATGTAAAGACCTAAAAAATGGAGGGAATGAGCCACATTGACTTCTGGAGGGAAGAGCAAGTGAAAAGGCCCTGAAGTGGGCCCGGCCTGTGTGGCTCAGTGGTTGAGTATCAACCCATGAACCAGGAGGTCACGGTTCGATTCCCCGTCAGGGCACATGTCCAGGTTGCGGGCTCAGTCCCTGGTAGGGGGCAGGCAGGAGATAGCCAAGCAAAGAGACTCTCATCATTGATGTTTCTATCCCTCTCTCCCCCTCCCTTCCTCTCTCTGAAATCAATAAAAAAAACATTAAAAAAAGAAAAAGGCCCTGAAGTGGGAGTGTGCCTGGTGTGTTCAAGGAACAGCAAGGAGGCCAGTGCGGTGGAGTGGAGTGAGTGAGTGAAATGGGGTGGAGGAGCACATTATGGACTACAAGGAGAGATGGGGCAGCTGGACGTCAGCACTCTGTGCCTGGCCCTGAAGTGGCTCTACTGAAGCATTTTAGTTTGCATTTGTGAATGGCTGTCTGCTTCTCTGTGGCTGGAAAATGTGTGCATGGCTCTCGGTCTAGGAGAGGCAGGTTGTGTTTGCATGACTTTGGGAGATCAGAAGTGGATCAGAGCCGAGGAGGGGCACAGCTCAGCACTTTCCAGTCTTTCCTGCATTATTCTAGCTAGCCCCCTGTCTGCAGGGCACGGTAGCTTTGCCTTTTTCTCCTGTTTATCTCCTGGCTGTGTCTGCCACAGTCTCAGTGAATTTGGTCGTACCATGTGATGTGAATATTAGGCAGCTGGAGAATTGCTTGAGATTTAAAAAATGAATATTTAGAATGGTCGAATATATAAACACCAATTGCAAAGTATCAGAAGTTATCAAATTTCATGTGAATGTTTGTGGAGCCAGATTAATGAGAATTTGTTCTTTTTTTTTTGAAGTAGTAGAAGATCCTGGTGCATAATCATGGTGGTGATGTATGAAAATTCAGATATAGGTCTCCCCCCTCCGCCCCAAATCTAGGCTTTTCCCTTTCTCTTTTCCATCGTCTTCTTCTTCCCCTCCTCCCAGTTTCCCTGCATTCCCAAAGTTGCCAGGAGGCAGTTTTAAAGTTTACCCTTGAGTAGCACAGGTCTGAACTGGGTGGGTCCACTGGTAGATGGATTTTTCAGTGACTGTGTACAGTACGAGAACTATCCTTTCTCCTCTAGCTTTACTTTATTGTAAGATTATCTATAAATATAAAAGCCCAAGCGACCCTTACGACCGGTCGACCAGTCGCTATGACGATGCACTGACCGCCAGGGGACAGATGCTCAACACAGGAGCTGCCCCCTGGTGGTCAGTGCGCTCCTTCAGCCAACCTCCCGTGGCCGGCCAACCTCCTACGGTCCCTTCCCCTGGCCGGCCGGCCCCAATTGGCCCTGATCGCTGACCCGGCCGAGGGGCCCCGCGCCTCTAGTCGTATATAATACTGACAACATACCAAATATGTGTTCATCAACTGCCTATATTTTCTGTAAGGGTTCCAGTCAACAGCAGGCTATTAGTAAAGTTTTTGGGGCATCCAAAGTTATACGTGGATTTTTGGCACCCTTAGCCCCCATGTTGTTTACGGGGCAACTGTATGATAGTCCCTTCCAAAGCATTAACTCATGACTGCTTGGCACGTGGTATTCTTGTTGATGAATAGCCAGTTCTCTTCAGGCGATTCAGGAAAGGTCATTTCTGAGAACTTACATACCTGATAATGATCAAGCCGGGAATAAAGATGAGATGAAGAATCTTGTACTGCCTCTTGTTGGGACTTGTGAGACTGAACAGTCTGTGCTCTTCGTTCTCCGGAGCTCAGGAGTCTCTGTATGTGGTTTTGCGCCGGTTATGTGGCAGCAGGGTGCCCTCTTGCATCAGGGTAACTCTGATTATGCCACCATCCCTTTATTAACATTGCATTTTGCCTCTGGCTGGTGAATATCAGAGCTGACAGAGGAGGGAATAAATATTTCCTGATTGCTTAACTGTGTGCCAGGATTAAGGCCTGGTTCTTTATACATGCTGTCTCACTTAATCCTCAAATGAGCCTAGATAGATAGTATTCTTTTTTAAAAAATATATTTTTATTGATTTCAGAGAGGGAGAGAGAGATAGAAACATCAATGATGAGAGAGAATCATTGATTGGCTGCCTCCTGCATGCCTCACAGTGAGGATTGAGCCCACAACCCAGGCATGTGCCCTGACCAGGAATTGAACCTTGATCTCCTGCTTCATAGGTCGATGCTTAACCACTGAGACATGCCGGCTGGATGGTAGTATTATTCTTCTTTTATTAACACAGAAAATAGAACCTCAGATAAATTAACAAACTTTCCCAGGGACACAGAGCTAGCAGTATATTCAAGGTTGAACAGAGGCCTAACTCCACAGCCATTGATTTTTCATTGCACCACCTGCACTAACAGCATAGGGTCCCGGATCTCCATAAGGACTAAGCCTGGAGTAAGGTCCTTGTCTTCTGGCCTGCATTGCTCCATTATTCCTATCCAGGTGAAACTGGCCTAACAGGAGCATCAAAGGTCAACTTGACAGGAAAATAGGTTGTCATGTGAGTGGGAATCTGGAGGAGACTAGGATGACAGAAAGAAGGAGCAGTCCTTCCACTGTGTTGGGGCATGGAGTGGGATTGGTGGAAATTGACCCCCATGTAGATGAACAGTGAACCTCAAGAATATTTAGCCTCAGTCCAAAGGTTACACAGTAAACCATCTCCTTAGGTCCTAGCCCAGCGGCCAGGAAACATTACCTACTTGGTGCACTAGAAAATTAAAAAAGCTTCCAGAAGAGAGATAAAATTAAAAAAAAAAGAAAGAAAAGGAAGTGGAATAAAGTTACTAGATGAAGAAGATGAGCTGACGAGCTCTGTGAACACTAGCACAAGGATTGGGTCATGAGGTTCCTTTCTGTGCACTGGGCCGTAACGGATTTTGTTCAGCAATTATTTACTGTGCTGCTACAAAGTGCCAGGCCTGTGCAAGGGACTCTGTCGAGCTGAGAGTAAAGCCCTGGGAAATTTATAGGCCGATGGGAACAAGATAAGGACAGGCACCTGCAACATCCAGTGGAACAGGGGCCAGAGGGAGGAAGCCATTTCAGTAGGAAAAACTGGACTGACGGGGTTCTATTCTGGCCCATCATTCGGATGCTTTGTGACCCTGAGCAAGTTATCCTTTGCCTCTGGGACTCAGTTTTTCTCATCTGCAGAGATAGTGCACCTCGCAGGAATATTGCAACAGCAGATGTATATACGATAACATGACATGTAATAGAGTTGAATAAATGGCCACCATTTGATTATTAAGTGCTGTGAAGTGCCTGAGCGTCCTTACTTGCAGGAGCGAGGCACCCTCTCACCACAGCCTGGAGGAAAAAGGAACTGATTTCAAATAAGCAGCACGTTTATGAGCCAAGTAGTCAAGCAGAAGGTTGGGGCCAAACCTAGGGCAGGGACATCTGAAAGCAGAGCCCAGGCCAGGCTGCCAGCTGGAGACCCAAGGGAGCCACAGGGGCAGGCTCAGCGGAAGAGCAGGTCAGGGCCGTCTCTGAGCTCCTCCACTGACTTTCAGTTCAGTGATTCAGGCAGGAAGCTGTGCGTCGCAGGTGCGGTTGAGGTCCCCACAGAGAACAGATAAGAGTAATCACTTTCCCTAAAGAGTGAACCCCCCGGTGGTAGGTGTGGTGGACAAGTGAAGGGCTCCAGCAACCCACTCCGAAGCTGAGAGCTCAGACAATGGGTTTTCCACTGCGGATGTGATTCTAGTCAGAGTAGAACCGACTCCGAATCTCCCAGCATCCGCATGCTTGCTTATTCATTGCGATGATTTTTATTTTTATTAAAAATAACATTTGCCTTGAATGATTATCTTCAGAAATGCAGAAAATACGAATAAAAACGAAATCACCTATAACCTCACCATCCAGATGTAACCATTGTTAATATTCTTGTGTTCCTTCCAGACTTGATTCTGGTGCATATCAGCATACATATTCTTGTTTATTTAAATAAAATGGGATTAGATAATAGTTAAAGATTTGTGAGACTTATTTCATTTAAGCTGTCACTGCCTGTTTTTATTTTACATCATTTTAATGGATGCGTGTTATTCTATTGTATGAATTTATGTAATTCCTCACTGTGGGACATTTACCCTTTAATTTTCTGCTATTATAAATGATGTGATAAACACTGTTGATAAGTCTAAGGAGATGTGCACAATTCATCAGTGAAATAGATGGCTAGGTCAAAGGATACGGAGAATTCTAAGGTTTATTTTATTTCAACAAATTGTCTTCCAAAAACCTTCCATAAAATTGGCAGTCCTGTTGACAAGTCTGTGCGAACATTCACCTTCCCAGAGCGTCAACTGCGGTAGATAATACCAGGGTAGGGGAGGGTCTCTCATTCGGTAGGTGAAAATGCTGCATCTGTTTTAATTTTATGGGCCGTTGATTTATACAGGTGACTCCACCCTCACACCAGTCTCCCTTGCATTTGCCATCCCTTCCTTACTCCCTGATGATGTTTTCTATTTTGCAGTATTGCTGGGAGCCTGGTATATTCCTACATCATTTTCTCTGAAGAGCAGCTGAGCAAACAGTTGGAGGCCAGTAACAAGCTGGACATTAAGGGGAAAGGAGCAGTATGACCAGAGGATTGCTTCAGCGATGTAGGCCTGAGACTTTGATGAGCGTGGAGCACTGGCAATTCTTACACAGATACTGAGGTGTCTTGATTATGGAGAAAATACCATTCCTTTGCACTTATACAATCTTAGGATTGATTGCTGCCTTTTAACATTTTATGAGAGAAACTTATAATTGACTCTATTTTAATTATGCCATTTGAATTAATTTATATCAGACTGGAAAATGCACCAGGCTTTTTAATTTATTTTTCTTCTGTGCCGACAGTGAACCATCGGTGTTTGGAAACTGTTGTATTCCATACTTTGATATCCAGGTGTCCCTGAGAGCTGCATCTATAAAGTGCTCCAACTGGAGCCTCCTCGTTCAAGTCATTGCTGCGTCTGGAGGCAGGTCTAGCCTTCCTTCTGCTGGAAATGCAGTGGAGTATCGGCAGTGTCTCTTCTTTGAATTACATTTCTTAACGATTGCATTTTCTTCATAAGGATATCATCGTTGCATTTGCCAAAGACTACAACTTTGGCTCTAAAAAAATAGGCGGGGCTTTGGGGTGTATCGCTTTGCATGTTGGCTTTCCTGAGAACTCCTGGGATGAGCAGAGTGCATTCCTTGAAAATTTGCTGTTCCCTCTTGGTTGTGTGGGATGGAGATAATGAAGTGCTGGAGGAAGCACTTATCTATCTCTCTGATTCATTCATTCACCTAAAATGTAGTGAGTATGTAACATGTGCCAGGCCTGATCCTAAGTGCTGGGGATACAGAGAGGTTTTCTGGAAGTCGTTGAATGAGCTCACTTCGGCCGAAGTGACTGAGTGAGGTAAGACAGAGAACTCAGCTTGATCCATCTACTCAGCAGATGTGACTAGGAACAAGTCGTAGAACTTTATCCAGTTCTTAGACACTGCAATCTATATGTGGTGCACCTGCCCCACCTCACCCACAGCAGTGTGAAACCAAACACTGAGCTGTGAGATCAGAGGCATGTGAAGAGGTGCATTTTGTGAACCATGCAGCCCGGCCCTTCCCTGAGTGAGAATGGTAGGCAGGCAGGCAAGGTGACCCCTGTGTATTTCCCCGTGCATCCCTTCTCCGGGTTTAGCTGCTACTCTTTTCCCCCTCTTTAAACCAATATGACTGGGTCTTACATTCCTGAATGCATTGGCTTGAGGGAAAAGGCTGGTTAGATGTTTGTGTATTGTTGGGGTCTGGTTGGTGTTAGAGCTGTCACCTTTCTCTGGATGGCATGAGCACACCTCTCTCCTGTGGTCACTCCCACCTACATTCTGCGTCTTTGTCCTTTCACTGCCTTACTGAGGACACCAGCTTCTCTCAAGCCCCATGCTGCCTTCTGGGAGAACAGCTGTGAATGGACATTGAATTGCCTCTTTGGGTGGGCCAGGCTGTTAAATTCAACACAGTCCTGTGACTTGGTTCAGACACATCTGCTGACTTTAGGGAGGAGTGTTTGCTCAGCCAGTTGTGCAGTGAGTATGCAGGAGGCTGGGTGCCTGGTGCACACACTACTTTTATTAGTTCATTGGGTGTGGAATCCACTGGGCTCCTTTGATCTAAACAATGAATAATTTGGTGTCTCAATATGGCACCTGGAAGGTTCTGATGTGTTTATATTTTTGATGGAGGTCATATTTATGCTTTTCCCTTATTTTGCTTTGTCTTTATAAAAGCCTGGCCAGTGGTGCTGGGTCCCCAGAATTAGCCTCACAGCCAACTTCCAAGTTATAAGCTCCATGTAAGAGTTCCTAAGGCTCACTCCCCCCCCCCCCCCCATATCAGCTGATCGGAGGACATTCTGGTGAGAGCATAGGACATTACCTTGTGTAAGATGGTTCTTACTGTCCCTGTTTTACCAATGAAAAAACAAGACTCAAAGAAAGTAGGTGATTTGCTAATTAATCAAAATGTGTGTTTTTTCCATTGTACCATGCTGCCATAAATTAACTGTCCTATAAGAAGGAGTAAGGAAATGGGGTGCTAGCTGGATTAGCTTGTGGCAAGCAGTCGATTGAATTTTAGTCAGAGAGGAATAGGCTTTGCAAATCAGGGAGAATGACGGATCACACTATATGCCAGCGCTCTCATCTAACTCCCAGGCTGGCCGCAGCTGATACGCACTTCTGGCTGTGACTGTTGCCTGTCACTGCCTGGGCTCGCCTGGGCACAGTGGAAAGGCATTGTGAGACCTAATTTCAGCAGTTCTGTTCCTTTTTCTACTAGCCACATGGAAGAAAGAACTTGGACATTAGAAATAGTTTGTGTTGTAGAATTTCTCTTCATGAAAGGCCTTTGGATGTGTTTCAAGGTGTTGAACTAGAACCCCACCAGGAGTTGAATTTCCTCTTGGGGTCAGGTTCCCTTGAAGATTCGCCATCTCTCCAGGTTTATCTGAGAAAATCATGTATAAGGTACAGCTTCGCTAAATGCACATGATCTCAGGGCCCATATCCTATGCCGAACTGACTGACCAGACGCAATAGGACAACTGATAGCTCCTGTCCTGTACGTGCTGTGATTCCTGGATGCCCCCTTCAACTGCCACCCACAGTGCAGGATGAGAGGAAGCAGCCTGGGGGAGTTGGGGTCTATTGGAGAGTTCTGTCTGAGCAAGGACAGAACTGGCCAACCGTTTTTGGAGTTTGCTTCCATTATGTGCAGCTCGGTTACAGCAGGACGCTAGAGATGTACCTAGTGCTATAGCATCACCCAGGCTGTCTGGAGTGTACCCTGAGGTTGATACCTTACAAGGTCAAACATTCTCTGACCTGTTAACTACCTCCTGGGAGGAAAAAGCGGCAGTGTCAAGTTCAGTCTGTAATTTGCTCTGTGAGACAGATGAGCTGTGGAGAGAATTCTTTTAAAGCAAAATTCTGACTAATAGCTTCTCTTTGAGTTAATGACAGTAGAGTCCTTTTTGTTCAGTTTGCTTTCAGTCAGTGCCAGATTGATTCAAATCACCCAGGTTGACGGGGCTACACATTGCCAACATAACATGTCCAGTGATTTTTAATTACCTCATATGGCTGTCGACTTTATGAGTCAGTCATTTGTAGGATCCATCTTGAATGTAGGTGGGAAGTTTTCGGTAGTCCTGTTGTATCAGAAATCCATGGAAAGTTCAGGTCAGTAAAGCTGATATGTGATCTTCATGGAAGGAGTAGTAGAATTTCACACATATGACTGGTTGGGATTGGTACCTAGGAATTTAGGCTTGCCTTTCCTTTGTTATCATGGCCTTAGTCAGTGAGCAAAGATTTACTGAGCATCTATTTGATGCCAGTCGTTATGCTCAGTGTTTTGTTTTGGGTGGCAAAATTATGCTCAGAGACTAAGATTGGTTTGCCGGTATTTTATTTAACACATGTTCACTGTGGGAATTCTAAACATTTCCTAAGCCCATAACAAAATAACATACTCCAAAGCAATGATAGATTAGTTACACTACTGTTGCAGGCGAGGGGAGGTGAATGAAATAAAGCCCAAATCTAGTTGAGGTGTACCTTTTCTATAAGGTTGGTTCTTGGGAGAGACAGCTTAATCAACAGAGTTGCCTTCCAGCTGCCAGCACAAACCAGATCGCTTGTGCTAGAGCAGATTGCTGGGGAATGATGGCCCTAGCTGGCCGGCAAGATGTCCTCTGAGAGGCTGCTGCAGGCTCTTGTCACTGCTGGTAGGAGTCACCATTACTGTGGGGAGCTGGTGCCCAAAGGTCTTGGGAGAGCTGTTTAGATCAGCAAAGGGTCTCCTTGCCCAGAGAGAATTTCAAATAGACCTCATAAACTCTCTTCACAAACATGCAGACTATTTATAGTCTAAATAGGCCCTCGCCACAGTTGCTTCCTCTTGGGATGTTTTTTATTGATAGGCCCCCAGGGATGCTCCTCAACAGCTGAGATGATGTCATCATGACACATCTTACTTCACTTTTATATCAAAACAGCTTTACTCTTTTTTTAAAAAATACATATTTTTATTGATTTCAGAAAGGAAGGAAGAGGGAGAGAGACAGAGAGACATCAGTGATGAGAGAGAATCACTGATAGGCTGCCTCCTGCATGCCCCCTACTAGGGTTCAAGCCTGCAACCAGGCATGTGCCCTTGACTGGAATCGAACCCGGGACCCTTCAGTCTACAGGTTGTCTATCCATTGAGCCAAACCAGCTAGGGCAAAGCAGCTTTACTCTTAAAACAACTTTATTTTTGTCATAAACAAGTAAATTTGAAATCATATCAAACCAATATACAACACTAAGCTCTGGGGAAAATGAGATGAATAGGACATGTTTCTTGCTTGTATTTAGCAAGACCCTAACTGAAAGTAGTTGAAGGAGTCGGTGATTTATCAGTATCAGTGATTAGGGGTGACCCACCCATAAAGCTGAAGCTTTTTTTTTTTTTTTAAACTCTCAGAGGACTTTCATAATTTATACTAGTTTTTTAGCTCTGAGATGTGCCAGGCTATTAGAATTCCATGACTACCCTGAGTCCCTCTTCCCTTTACTGCGTTTATTCTTGCTTCCCCATAACTTTGTATTATTAGTTCCTCCCAATGCTAATATTCAAAAGAAATGAGGTATTGGATGCAAAACTACTCAGCACAATGCCTAGTATATATTAGGCACTTGGCAGATTTTGTTAATGTCATTTTATGGTGAGACTTTAGGCAAAAGTTTCTTAAGTTGTGTTCTTTAAATGCTAGAGGCCTAGGCAATGCGTGTATTTCTTGAAATATGTGACCTGTACTTTGTTTGCTTCCGGAATGCTTAAATAACAGTGTCTTTTCAAGATCTTTTAAAATTCCTACCGGATATACCATAATTGTGGTCATTGTGTGATGCAGGTGATTCCACGTTGTTTTTTAAAAATGACGAAATTATTTATGGTTTTACGGTAAATTTCAAGAAACAAACATTATGTCACCTCTTAGAGCAGTGGTTCTCAACCTCCTGGCCCTTTAAATACAGCTTCTCGTGTTGTGACCCAACCATAAAATTATTTTCGTTGCTACTTCATAACTGTAATGTTGCTACTGTTATGAATCGTAATGTAAATATCTGATATGCAGGATGGTCTTCGCCGACCCCTGTGAAAGGGTCGTTCGACCGCCAAAGGGGTCGCGACCCACAGGTTGAGAACCGCTGTCTTAGAGGAAGGTAATTACACTTCAGAATGGTGATTCAGTTAAAACGTTTCCAGTTTGTCTCTTTAAGGTGGCTGTTTGCATGCCCGTCATTCCTTCTTCCCTTCTCCGAAATAGACGCCCGGACAACGCGCTTTGACTGCATCTGCGTCTGGGTTCATCTCAGTTGTTGGTGTTTGTGAACCTCTGGCACCGTCACTAAACCTGTTTCTAGTACTTGTGTTAGGCTCCCGCTTCATCATGGTTTGAGGAGATACTCTATGGTAGGGTGTTTTGTTTTGTTTTTTAAGCTTTCTTTTTTGAAAATACTTTTAAAGTAAATCTACTGGTTAGATTTATTGTCTCACAGAAATGTTTTTAGAGATTATGTTGTTCATAAATGTTGCTTTCTCATGCTGATGAAACAACTGATTTTTGTCTACAAATGTTGGCCTATTATAGTATTTTTTCAGTGTAGATTCTATTTACCAAATGACCATTTTAGTGTTTTTAAGAGGTACTGAGAATTGAGATATGTAAACCAGGTGACATAAACATGAAAATTATGTGCCTAAATATTTTTGTAAAGTTGTCAAATAAATACTTTTTTTCTGAACACGTGTATCTGCAACATTTTGTTTATCTATTCACCCATTGATAGACGCTTGGGTTGCTTCTACCTTTTGGCTGTTGTGAATGCTGCTGCTGAACGTGAGTGTCTTAGTCAGTTTGTAACCATGCAGAAACCTTATTTCCTTTTAGCTGGCCTTTTATTTTGATTCTTTCCCTTTGACTCAAACTGGCCTCACCTAGCGCCCTGCCCTGGCTCACACACCTCCTTCTCCCTTGCTTAATCATTAAGCCCTCAGGACAGTGAGGTTCTGGTCAGCATCCAGTAATCTTAGGAACAAGCCCCTGGGTCTACTGACTATTGAGACAGTGTTTTCAATCAAACAAGTCCTAATATCTCTGCCTCAGTTATAGCTCTGGAACAGGAAAGTGGAATGACCCCACAGAACAAATCCTTGTGAAATTGGATAGAGCAACTCCATGGCTGACATGAGGACTGAATGCAGTGATCAATTACCCATATCCTGGCACCAACCAAACAGTAGAGACCACAACCCTAACTCTTTTAGTCACCATGGTTAATGACTTTTCCCCTGTATAATCCCCCCCACCTGCACCCCCCCCCCCACCCCCGCCGGCAGCTATCAGGGAGCCAAGTATTTGAGTATGAGCTACCTGTGTCTCCAGGCCTGGCGCCATCTCCTCAAGAAATCCTTACTTTCTTGGCTGCAAACTCCTGTTCCTGTCTATTGGGCTTTGACACATGCAGGCGAATGAACCCCTTCAGTCCGGTAACAAGTTAGGACTGCTGTAACAAATGACCACAGGCTGGGTGCTTAACCAACAAGCATTTATTTCTCACAGTTTTAGAGAGATGTGCAGGGTTAAGGTGCTGGCAGATCCAGGGTCTGGTGAGAGCCCACTTCTGGATTTGGAGATGTCCGTCTTCTCATAGCCTCACATGGTGGAGAGCAGAGAGAGGTAGCAAGCTGTATTTTGCCTCTTCTTAGGGCACTATCAGGAGGGCTATCCTATCATTACCTAATCCTATCAGGAGGGCTCCACCCTCATTACCTAATTACCTCCCAAAGGCCCCATCTCCAAATACCATCACCTTGAGGATTAGGGTTATTTTTATATAAAGAATTGTTTTATTAATTTTTTTTTGAGAGAAACAGATTTGTTGTTCCACTTATTTATGCATTCATTGGTTGGTTCTCGTATGTGCCCTGACTGGGGGTCGAGCCTGCAACCTTGGCATATCTGGATGACACTATAACCAACTGAGCTACCCAGCCAGGACAGGATTAGGGATTTTAGCATATGAATTTGGAGGGGACACAAAATCCATAGTAATGGCTACTCAAATACGCTTTCAGTTATTTTGGAATCGCTGGGTCCTATGGTAATTCTATTTTCGACATTTTGAGGAACTGCCACACTGCTTTCCATGTGGCTGTGCCATTTACATTCCCACGAGTAGTGCACAGTGTTTCAATTTCCCGACGTCCTTGCCACCACTCGTCCTATTGATAGTAGCCATCGCAGTGGGTGTGAGGTGACATCTCATTGTGGTTTTGATTTGTATTTTCCTGTTGATTAGTGGTGTTGAGCATCTTTTCTTATGCTCATTGTCCATTTATAGCTTTCTTTGGAGAAATGTCTATTTGAGTACTTTTTTTTTTAATTGGATTTTTTTGTTGAGTTGTAAGAGTTCTTTATAGATTGAGTTCTAGCCCCTTATGAGATAATTTGCAAATATTTTCTCCTATTCTGTAGGTTGCCTTTTCATCACTCTTGTTGATTGTATCCTTTGATGCACAATTATATATTTTGATATTGTGCTATTTTACTTTTATTGACTATGCTTTTGGTGTCATATCCAAGAGTTAATTGCCAAATCCATTGTTATGAAGCTTTCCCCTTATTTTTTCTATGAAGAGTTTTATAATTTTAGGTCTTACATTTAAGTTGTGGATCCATTTTTAGTTAGTTTTTGTATATGGTATAAGGCAGGGGTCCTCAAACTTTTTAAACAGGGGGCTAGTTCACTGTCCCTCAGACTGTTGGAGGGCCGGACTATAGTTTAAAAAAAAACTATGAACAAATTCCTATGCACACAGCGGCGGCAAAAACACCCGGCAGGCCGGATAAATGTTTTCAGCGGGCCGCATGTGGCCCGCAGGCCGTGGTTTGAGAACCCCTGGTATAAGTTAAGGGTCCACCTCCATTCATGTGCATGTGAATATATCCAGTTTTCTTGACACTTTGTTGAAGAGGCTGTCAAAGCATGTTTTTGTTTTTGCTAATCCTAACCCAAGGATATTTTTCCATTAATTTTATTTATTTATTTATTTTTTAGAGAGAGAGTGGAAGGGAGAGGAGAGACCAAGAGAGAGAAATATCGATGTGAGAGACACATTGACTGGTTGCCTCCTGCATATGCCCCAACCAGGGCTGGGGATCGAGCCTGCAACTGAGGTATGGCCCTTGACTGGAATTGAACCCAGGACCCTTCAGCCCTCAGGCCGACGCTCTATCCACTGAGCCAAACCAGCGAGGGTAAAGAATGTGTTTTAAACAACTTTTAAAAGTGCTCTTACAGTTTAACTTTCTTTCTAATGGGTGATATATCTGCTCTTTCACTTAGCTCTTTGCTGGTTTCTTGTCTCGCTTGGCTTTGGCACTCAGGGCCATGAGTACTAGGGACTCCACAGAAGACGCTCCAGTGAGAGGAGCAGAGCAGAGAGCTGGTTTGTGCATCCAGCAGGTGAGCAGTTGCCAGGTACCTCCCAGACTTCTTCCCTGCGCTCTCATCACCTGTATTCGCTCATCCAGCTGCCAGCCAGACTGAGCTCCCTGGGGCCAGCACCCTGCCTGATGGAGGCCTGGCACAACCACATTTCACAGAGGAAGCTCAGTAAGAGACAGCTGTCCAATGTGGTTGGTGAACCTATATTCAAACCCTAATCAGTCTGACTCAAAAGACCTTTGCTCTTCACCACCACACTAGGTCCTTGTTTCTCCTGCTCTGCTCATAACAGACTTGGTGGTTTTAAGGCCATCACCACCATAGGCATGTCCAGTGCCATTCTGCATTCAAAGTCCACACACCGTGATTTCAAGCTTAGGTGTGAGCCGGTAGCTGATTGACTCTGAGGCCAAGGAGCCGTGCTTTCCCAGCTGTGCAGATAGTGCCCTCCTGTGGTAGCAGCTGCCATTGGCGGTAAATGAAAAAAGCAGCTTGCTTTCCAAGAAAGAAAAGCGCTGTTGCTTACTGAGGGCCTACTTTGTGCTTTCATGGAGCTGGGCCTTTGTCATGCTTTTCCCCATTACAGTACTTTACCACTGCACAAATGGTGGCTTAAGCAAGGCGAAG